GGAAATCCCGCGATCGTACAATAATCGCACAGTGTATGGAAGGCATGCGACCGTTTCTACTGTACGTTCGCACGTCTTCCATAGAATAAGCAGGCTTGAAAACCCGCCGAGAATCATACGATTCTCGGCGGGTTAGAAAATGCTAAAGACTAGGGCTACCTATTCAGTACTTTTGCTATTATGATTAATAATTTGTGCATTTAAAGTCATCCTATAGACAACAGCTAAATTTTGCAGCCACCTTTTTCTGTAATGCACACCTAGTGCTGGCCAGGTGTGCATTATTGCTTGTTAGGTGAGTGGAAGCTGATGGATAGAGGTGGGGATGCTCATTCACTGTCCAGTGAGGAGGCTGGAGAAGGAGAAGTGACACAGGATGCTGAATTGCTAAACCAGGATGAATAATTGGTTAATAAGAAACTGCGATCTTCACCTGCCTGGCTGGGCAGTGTGGAAATGTGCAAATCACAAAATTGGCTCTACTGAATAAAACATCCTTTGCCTACAAATATCGGTACTTGTACTCAATACGGAAAAAACTTTATTGGTGCATCCCTATAAAAAACCATAGGCCCAAAAGTGTGGACACCTCTCTAAATTATTGAGTTTAGGTGCACAAAGCCAGGCCCATGCAGACATGGTCGATGAGTCTGGCTTGGAGGAACTAGAGTGGTCTGCAGAGAGCCGTCACCTCAGCGCTATTAACACCTTCACGATTACCGTATTTTGCGCTCCATAAGGCGCACCTAACCATAGAACGCAGGGAGGTTCTGTGACAGCAGTTGTAGTTAGTGACAGCTGAGTCAGGTGGCGCTGTGATTACAGCACCACCGTCTCAGTGACCACACATAGCAGGCGGACACGATCGCCGCCACCGCTCGATTTGATACAAGTGATCTTAATAGATCACTTGTATTAAACGAGCAGCGGCTCCCACTGTACATTTAGCTCTGCTTGTCCGGAGCCGGGCTAAATGTACAAAAAACTACTCACCCAGCACCCGAAACTGCATGTCCCTGCATGTCAGGCAAGCATACATCTGCACCTTGCCACCTATACATAATGACTTGTGACTAGTGCTTTGGGCAGGCAATTATACAACAAGTACTTGGAACAGATGTGCTCTAAAGCTTTTCAGTATTTTAAGACATGCAAATGACGGGGTATCTAATTAGAACAGCAGACAAGCACAAGACAGCTGTTTCCTTCCCAAAGAAACACTAGTTAATCACAATGCATTTGCTGGTTCTACCATGGCCCTCCTGCTGATGTCTGCAGATTTCATGGCTTGAATTAAGATGTGTAACTTTTACCACAGTGCACATTATCCATCACTTCTGGTTACTCTTGGAAAGAATGGTTGTTTATTACTCTGCTTTTGTTCTCAGGCCACCCAACAACACAACTGATGTATTACATTGTATACTGTTCAGCTTGTCACTTAGCTGCCCTCTGCTCTATTAAAGGAGAACTATGGGGTCAGTGTTTTTCCCCATAGTTCTCCTTAGGGTAACGCGAGGACACAAACTACTACTCACCCAGCACCCGAAACTGCATGTCCCTGCATGTCAGGCAATAGGGATTCGCTCCATAAGAGGCACACACATTTTTCCTTGCCTTTTGGGGGGGAAAACGTGCGTCTTATGGAGCAAAAAATCGCAAAGTGTATAGTTGAAATGCAGATTTCCAACCACGTCTTCTCATCCAACATCAATACCTGACCTCACAAATGTTCTTTTGGTAAATGTGTCCAAATTCTCACAGACACTTAAAATTTGTGGAAATTCTTCCAAGAAGAGTGGAGGCTGTTATAGCTATGTGTGTGTTAGTATTTGTGTGTAGGTTGGGGTACCTCCAGATTAATGCCCATTACTTTGAAATGAGATATCCAACAAGGTCAAATAGGTGTGATGTTGGGTCCTCACAATCTTTTGGCCATAAAGTGTATTTATTTAATCTGTGAATGTAGTCGTTTGCTTGGAATTTCCTTTTAACCTTCCTATACTAGTGTCACTTCACCAAACTTTTGGTTTATTATACCCAAGCAGACAGAGACCATGGTTTCCTCTTGAGTCCAAGCACCCCTCCAGCCACTGTACTCTGTGTTCAAATCACATCTTATGGTTGAATCAGGGGATTCCTCCCCCCAATGTCCCGTAATGCACAGTGCACAGACAAGCAGAGTGAATGCATACTGCTGCGTCTACAGCACTCTGAGAATGCTTCTTCACTGCATACTGACCAAGCACAAGAGCGCTGGATTACAGCTGAGAAGAGATTTGGGAAAAGACCACTAGCTTTACTCACAGTAAATGATCATGTTTTAAAATTATGATTTGAGTTGGATTTTAACCAGTTGACATCCGCGGTGTTAAACCCCCTTCCCATCCAGGCCATTTTTCAGTATTCAGCGCTGCCGTACTTTGACTGACATTTATTCCGTCATGCAGCGCTGTACTGAAATGAATTTTATACCCTTTTTTGGGGACAGATAGAGCTTTCTTTTGGTGGTATTTATTCACCACTGGGGTTTTTATTTTTTTACTATATTAAGGAAAAATCACCGTAATTTAAAAAAAAAAAACAGTTTCCCCTATATTAAATGATAAAACATTTATTATTACCCAATTTTTTGGTAAAATATAAAAGACGGGGTCACGTCGGGTAAAAAGACACCAAACATGTCAAGCCTTAAAATTGCGCGCGCGCGCGCGCAAAACCTCAAAAAACGATAATACCCAAAATTGGCCATAGGCGACGCTTTAAAAGCTGTTACCGCTCATCAGTTTAGTGTTATCAGTGATTGATGGCCCTAAAATGATTTCTCTCACTGCGACGTTCGCGGCGATATGTAACATGTGTAGCGCAATTGTAATTTCTGCGCGCTGGGGCACCGGACGCGTATTTACGTTTATAGGCGCGTAAAAGTGGGGGTGGGGGAGTTAAACATTTTGGGGGGTTTTTTCCCCTTTTTTTATATGTGACTTTTATTTTATTTTACTTTTTTATATGTTACTTTTATTTATATTTATTTTTTTGCGAGCAGAAAAAAAAATGCCGTCTGGCGACGGCAACCCGCCAATGCAGCAGTGCCATCCGTCCGTTTTTCTACTACGGGCGGACGGCAAGAGGTTAATAGGTCTTCTGCTTTAAACTGTATGAAGACCAGAGATTGACACCACTGCATACTGCAACAGAGACGATAGCCCACGTTTACCTCTGCCAGCATCTCAATAATCAAACAATTAATAATTAAAGCATGGAGCTGGATCAGAATCCACTTTTTGTTTGAGTTGCAAAACCCCTTTAATGCCTTCTCAGTAAAGCAGTGAGCAGAGCAATGTTAACTGGCAAGCTGCAGCATCCCAGAGTAGCTTACCGGAGTGACAGCAGTGAGGGAGAAATTCCAGTTGAATGCAATTGGTTATTATTTCATCCTGCATGTGGCTCTTTGTCTTCTGTAAAACTTTAATAATATATACTGCTAAATGTCTGGGCTGATTTATGAAAACTGGAGAGAATATGTTTCAGCAACAAATCAGATGTAGTCTTTCTAATGAAACAAAGACTCTGATATCAATCCAAAATAGCAGCACACCCCCGATCTCCACCAAAGGTATATTTATTGTTAAAATCCAGCCATCAGCCTAGTATGATCCAGGCCTGGTGCTCACCTACCGCTAACGCGTTTCACCTCTTCAGGCTTAGTCAAAGAAATCTCTACAACTAAAGCTAGGCATTCTTAATAAACTAACCAAAATTCACACAGTGGGTGGCCCATTGACATCTTTCCTTGTGGCAGTTTAATAATAAACATACCATTAGTGAAGATTGGTGGTGTGCGGCTATTTTTGAATTGATGTGATTGTGGAGTGAGGACGGCTCCAGAAGCACCTGCAGCAAGCCTGATTTTTGGAGCTTGCATATGAATTGAGTGGTAAAAGGTTTTCCTTCTCTTGGAAGGCTTCCATCAGTATCACTTACCTGAGGCAAAGTTCCTTTGACTAGCGCGGGAATATCTGCTGTACTGTATCCCACCGCAGCCAAACCATCATCAACATTCAAGTCAAAAAGAAATTTCCGTAATGTGTCTGCCAAGATAAGTCCGGCGTCTTCGAGTTTTGCAGTCTTTATATCCGCCCCTGAATTAAGACATAAGAGATGGTAGGCTACAGAGATGAGTAGGAAGCTTGTTCAAGACCTAATTGGATAATGCTGCTGCCAGAATTGATGCTAGATTTATATCAGTGGACCCCATTTGAAAGTACGGTCTCTGCTTTTAAATGATATTTGACATATGATCTGAGAAACCTGCACACTATGCTATTAATATGTATAACTTATTTATTAATGACATCGGGGAGGGTGTTAACAGCGATATTTCCGTGTTTGCGGATGACACCAAAATTGGGAGGGTAATAGACACGGACTTAGACATTATAACATTACAGGAGGACCTGGATAAAATAGGGGAGTGGGCATTAATGTGGCAGATGAGGTTTAATGTTGATAAATGCAAAGTAATGCACTTTGGAATTAAAAATAAACAAATGGGTTATACAATTATGGGTATGCCGCTGGGGAAGTCAGAAATGGAGAAGGATTTGGGGGTCATTGTAGACCACAAACTGAAAGGTAGTTTGCAGTGCCAGGCTGCAAACAAAGTAAACAAAGCTAGCAGGGTCTTGTCCTGTATTAAAAAGAGTTGCAGGGACAAGTCTATAATTTTGCCACTTTATAGATCATTGGTTCGACCTCATCTGGAGTACGCGGTCCAGTTCTGGTCACCAGTACTAAGAAAAGATGTCCTTGAGTTGGAAAAAGTCCAGCGGAGGGCAACCAAACTAATTAGGGGTATGGAGGACCAGAGCTACGAGACAAGGCTACTAAATTTAAACATGTTCACATTGGAGGTGAGGAGATTAAGGGGGGATATGATCTCCATGTACAAAATGTTCAATGGTGGTAGCAACATTAGCGATAAACTGTTTAAAATTAACTCCGTTACAAAAACTAGAGGCCATCACCTAAAATTGGTGGAAAAAAAATTCCAGCACAAGGGGCGAAGGGGGTTCTTCACAGTAAGATCAGTTAGGGTCTGGAACTCACTGCCACAGGCGGTGATTTCAGCAAATAATGTGGAATTGTTCAAGAAACTTTTGGACGATTTGTTAAGGGAAAATATAATATACAGGGGTACAGGTAATATACAGGGGTACAGGTACTCCTAGAATGAGATCCTAATAGGTTGGACTTGATGGACTAATGTCTTTATTCAACCTCAAATACTATGTAACTATGTAACTATATATAACAGATACTCTCTAGAAAACACAAGCAGAGAGTATATTTATTTGATAGAGACCATATTTCCTTCCATGAGAGATCTACTCAGACCTTCCATGAGAGATCTACTAGATGACAGACCTTATTTTATGTGATGTACAGAAGCACGAGTGTATGCTGCCATCTAGTGGCCAAAGGGGACAAATCATTTTGTGATATTTAGCTAAAAACACGCCGTCTATTTATTTTCACACAAGATTCATGCAACTTTCACCCATGATTCACACATTTTTTTACGATTGAATCCAAGTATAAAATGTGTAAATCCTGGGTGAAAATTGTGTGGATTGAGCGTGAAAACATTTATAACTAAACCGCTTACTGTAAAATACTGACATACATGATATAGGTATTTAGGAAATTTGCTAATCTCCAGTTGGCTAGGAATACATTTAGGGACTTGCAGTTCCTCAACATTTGTATGACTGCAGGTAGTCCAGCCTAATTTTAAAGACACCAACAAATGTTTTAAAGAGTATCTTTGGTCAAAAACTAAATAAAAATATGTATTTCTATATTGAATTTATTCTATTCCACTCCTAATAACCATGTCAATCTAGAAGTTTGTAAACTTGAAGGTGCACATAGGATGTACTTCCTCAATGCACTGACACAATTTATTAAGCCTTGTCCATATGCACATCCTTGTGTCACAACTCTAACTAAGCCTGCCTTCTGAAATACAACCCAATGTCTGAACAATGTAATGTTATCATTGCTTGCTGGAAGCAATGCATGACGGGATATGTAGTCTTGAGAAATTGAGACTGCATCATATCAAGCAACAGGGAAAGAGATGCAAAGCACACTGGGAATCCAGGAAGTTGTTGGGCATAGGGAAGGCAGCACTCACTACATAAAAGGGATTTGTTTTTCAGGTAAGCTTTGATTGCATTATCAAAAACAAGTCTAATATGTATTCCTATTACAATGCTGATGTTATAACAGGAGATTATATGCGGATGATCTGCAAACCAGGAAAAACACCACACTTTAAGAAACACCGCCTTACAGAGTCATTACTGGGAGACATTTTAGACATTTTTTCAGTTACTTTGCCTATATAAACTTTTTTTAGCTCACTGTATACATCAGGAATGGATTACTTTCTATAACGGTGAATAATGTTCTTAATCCAGCTATCAAAATTGCAGTGGCCAGTTTACTAACTTTCATTTCAGATATTTTTCTATTAACATACTGTAATTTAGTAACAAAAACACATATTTTGGTAATAGATGATTATTCAAGCCTGTTGTAGGAGTAAAATTTCAAGAGGGTTAATATTAAGAGGGTTTTTTGGTGTATGAAAGTGGGATTAAGGACTAGGATTGAGTAAACCTTCCTGGTTTTAATTCACCAGAAATCCCGTTTGTACTTTGGCAAACTTGAACTTAGTGGTGAATGCCATTGAATTCTATGATGGGGTGCTGACCTCTCTCCTTGACCCATGGAAGCACTTCCCTATTTCCTGGTTTGGTCATATCTGTGTGGTAAAGATGATATATCCTGCCAAACTATTATATTCTTTTTGAGTTCTCCCCGTGGCTGTCCCAGTCCATATCCTTCACATACAGTACATGGATGACAAGTACTTCAGTTCGTTTGGGGCAAAGCGAGACCCCGACTTAGTAAACAGACTCTTTTTGCTTTTAAAGCCTTTCGGTGGTCTGGTGGTACCCAATCTCCATAAATATTATGTGGTCCCCTGGCCCATCTCCATGATACTCAAAAACTTTCATTCTGGGCTTCCTTGAACTTGATTGTCATCCTTTTCCACTGCCCTTTCTGCCATGGGTTACCTCATCTCTCTGCCTGAGACCTCTAGGCCCTGCTACAACTCATACCCTTTGCTTTTGGAACACAAATTTCTGGTGGACTTCCTTCTCCATACTTACCATTGCTTAAACTAGCTTTCTCTCTCCTATTTCCCCTGGCCCTGGAGTCAGTTAAAATGGTGGTCCGACCATGGTTTCAATGATGTGTATTCTCTACTTTCCCTCAGTGGGGTCAAATCTTTCCAAAAAAATTGGCACCAGGGATGCAGGCACCTGGAGTATGGGCACCAGCAATATGGGCACAGTTATAACCTTCTCCCACTGTGAGGAAGATTTCCAAAGGACAATTTTTTAAAAAATGTTGAGAAGCAGAATGCAGATCCAATTCTGCGGCAGACTGGAGAGTTTAGCTAAAAATCAGCTGTCTATTTATGGCTTTCTCTAATGAGGGTCCTTCCACTTAATTCTTATTAAGGTGCTTTAGACCTCTATTGTGTTATTATAATTATGCTTTCTATATTCATACTGTAAGTAAATGGAACATTACAATTAGGGATACACCGAAATGGAATTTTGAGACCGAAACCTAAAATAGAAAAATCTGTCAGGCTACTACCGAAACTGAAAAATTTAGGTTTTTCTCCAACCTTCTTAAAACTTTTAAAATAATTTTTTCATAATTTTTTTTATTTTTCATTTATTAGCTTTACTGTCAGGGGCTCTAGGGAAGTATCAGGGGTCTAAACAGACCCCTGATATTTCCCTTTCAAAATAGAAAAAGAAATTGAGGACACAGTCCTAAATCTCTTTTTCTGCACCCCCTGTTATGAACGAACAGGAATCCTCTATACTGAGTGTACCTGCCCATTCATAACTTGTGGATATATTATGAGTTACTATGGCCACAATCATGAATGAACATGAAGTGATGTAGAGCACTTCCTATTCATTCATAACTGGGACATAGTAACTCACACAATGTCCAGTTATTTACAAAAATTCAGCGATCATTTGTTTGTAGTCTGCTCTCCATCCTGAATTCCTGATAGTGCTCTCCTCCCCCACCGCTTGTCATCCTGAAACCTTCTCTCCTCCACGCTGGGTGCCGGCCGCTGAAATGGAAGACACACAGACCGGCGCCCAATGGGCAGGAGAGAAGCTGGGATGCATTTTGCCAAAAGTGCCAATTTCGGCCGAAATGTTTTGGCGGCCGAAATTTCGTGGGGTATTCCTAATGACAATAATTTCAGTGACTAATGCAAGTTACATAGTTACATAGTATTTGAGGTTGAATAAAGACATTAGTCCATCAAGTCCAACCTATTAGGATCTCATTCTAGGAGTACCCGATCATTTTAAATTGGGGACTGTTGGTCTATGTGCTGTCCAGAGCCAACAACAGATGTAAATCTCTGTGTACATGCAGAAGATAAATATCATAAGAACGGCACTATTACTTGTAACATTACGTAAGTAGGATGCATCATTTTTATTGACACTACCAGTGAAACCTGATTCTGGCCTGGTACAGCCACTATTAATAAGAGAGGGCCACAATATGTACCAGTATGAGCACTGATAAGATTTCAGGTATCCAGTTGTTTGTGCTGTACAGTGAATATTTGCACTTTTCTTTTAACAATCCATTTAACCACCTGAAAATCTAAAACGACTAAAAGAAAGTGAAGACAAATCTTCCACAATGGTCATCTATGTCTTCTAGCCTGTTAGACATTTATTATCACCCATACATTGTTCCCAAACATGCCTTTCTTTTGAGAAAAAAAACAGAATTCACTGATGTGCACTACCATTGCCAAAATAGGTTGGAAGGAGCTCATAGAGGCAAAAGATGCTCAAGATAGATAAGAAGGACGGAAAAATATAACATTGTGTAAGAAGCTAGCTAGAGTTGTGCTAACCAAAGTCTTTTAAGCCAGAGTTATACTTGTAAGTTATAGTTGCTATTTAATTAGATTGCTGAGCGAAGAAATATGCAGTACAACAGTACAAGAAGATCTTTTGTTTGCAGCCTGTCTCACATATGGTCATGTATTCTTTTGTATCCTCCTGTCCATTCTCATGCGTCTTATATCAATGTGTCTTATCTAACTGAATTCCATTCTCATGCTAGGATATGCCTTCTATTTTGATATAAGCTACACTCCTCCTTTCAATAAATGAGAACCTTTTTTCTCTTTATCGAGAGTAAAGTGTTCCCCATGCATGTGCATTAATCAGATATTGTCATACACAACAGATTATCGGCTTACACAAACATCTTTATATAAAGTTCATCCTTTCTGCATTGCACACATGCAGAATGTGATTGTAAACTCTTCAAGAGAACTTCTTACCAAGTATCTCAGCTGCCTCCAGATGGCGCTCAGGACACATGGCTGCTGTGAAGGAAAACACTGCTGGAGAGGTAAGAACCACTGAAAGTCCGTGGGGCTGGTAAAGGGAAAACTAACTATTAGAATGAATATGGCAGTAAACATTTAAACTGTCATTGAATAAGTGATAGCCTCACTTTTGACATTTTCCTGACCAACAATCAATGCTTATTAAAGGAGAATTATCCAAAAATGTATTAACTTATAGAGTTCATACTTTTAGTAATCCTGTTCAGTATATGAATTCCTTTTTTAACATTTTATTTATATTTTCTATAAATTTTCATGCCAACCAAGTTGTCTGGCAAAAGTTCCAGCGGTTGGCACTAAGGCTGGCTATACACCAGGTGACGTGCGGTCAGGGGAGGCACGTGAGGCAGAGCCTCACCTAGTATTATGGAGGAAAAAGCTGTCAGCTTAAAGTCTGAATCTGACAGCTTTTCCTCCGGTGCATCTGTCTTTTGACAGGTAGTTAGGTTACACTGCAGCGGGCTCCCCCACTGCTTGTGTAACCTAACTAATGAGGCAAGAGCTGTCACAGCCTCTACTCTATGTTAGAGGTGTGAGCTCTGTGGATGGATTGGACCAATGGCAAAGCGCCATTGGTCCAAGCTGTCCAATCAAAAAAAGAAAAAAAAATCTGAAGCCATCGATCTCGATGCCTCAGCAGTGACAAGCAAGTGAGGGACAGAGAGACTCCTCCCTGTCCCTTCTTCACACTAGCTTGGGGACTGGGCTGGGGGCGGGGAGAAAAGTGCTGGGGTGAGGCTGGGGAATGCCTCACCCGGAACTAAAGGTACCGCACGTCACTGCTATACACTGTTGTTCACAGGAATTTGCCACAGTTCTTACAGTGGGTGGCCCTAATGGCTTGACAAAAGTCAATTACTCAATCAATACTTTTGTCGAAAGAGCTGGGCTGAAAATTTTAGGATGAACGGTGACTGCAGCTAATCAGATGCAGTTACTATTCATGTATTTTGACAATGTTGGGCGCCGGTTGTCAGAATACAATAGCCATCAGAGGCAATATATCCATCTTAGTTATTTAGCATGGTTGGAGGAAACTATTAGGTTTTTTTAAATTCCGTCCACAAGCTGAATTAAGAAAATATATTAGTATATGGGCAATTTTACTATAATGCTCTCAGTTGGGTTTTATGGCAAAACTGTGATTTGCCTTAGACCAGGAGTCACTAAATGGCGGTCCTGACACAGACAGAGTGGCAGTTCTGTCCAGACTTTGATCACTGACCTACACTGGATTATGGCTGGTTGACAGTGGAAACACTGGCCTCCAAGGCCAGTGCATCCACTGCCAGCCATAACCCAGTGGAGGCCTCCCTTCGCTTCATTTATTGGTTGCCAGGACTGCTGGCGCCCTGGCAACCAATGACATCAGGCAGGAAGGGCCAGCTTGTCAACTGTACAGCCACCCAGATCACTTATACTAGCCTGTGATTGTGCTTGCTCCGCTTCCCTCGCCATGGTTTTTGGGGTCCCCCGCTCCTCTGGGGTGCCTGGGACCATGGGGCAGAGGATGTCAGGATGGAGACCGAGGAATGCCAGTTCTCTGATCTGCTCTGTGGTCAGTAAAGCATGAACCGCTGTGCTCTCAGCACTTCCTGCTTCAGAACTGTCAGAACTGTCAGAAGTGCCAGGTGAACAGACTGATGTCTCCATAAAGAGAACTTGTCACCTCCAAATGCTGCACATAGGGGCTTGTTAGCCCCTTTGTAATAGCAAAAGTTAAGTAAAAAATGTAAAAATGTATAAAAAAACTAGAAAATATAAAAAAAATGAAAACCAACCCTGCCACCCGACCCCCCATCTGATGTAGATGAACATGTGTGCAAAGGCACAGAAATCCTTACCAATATTGGGTGGTCCACGTTGTAGTCCTTGGCTCTGTATTTCTTCACCAAGCCTGCTATAGGATATGACATGCCATGGCTACAAAAAATAAATAAATAAAAAGCAAGCTTCATTAAAACTGTCCATTTTAGTATAGAAACCTCCATATTACATTACTATCTTGTCTAGGCATTATATGCAAATAATATTGACAAAACTATGACTGTCAAATACAATTACAATTTTAAATGGCACAGTAAAACCATCTGTTCCCTCGTGCAGCTGGTTACTATATTTTTAGATTTATCCCACAGTTAAACAAGAAAAAATAAAAATATACACTTGAAATTACGTATGTACTGAATGGAATTTTTAGACCAAAACCAATTTTTTGTCAGGGTGAAACCGAAAGCGACTCGTTAATATTCAACCTTTTTAAAATGTTTTACATTATTTTTTCCTTATTTTATTTTTATTTTTTACTTTACTGTTGGGAGCTCTGGGGAAAAAGACCCCTGATATTTTTTTCTTTTAAAAGAAGAGATTAAGGACGCAGAGTCCTAAATCTCTTTTTCTGCAGCCCCTGTTATGAATGAACAGGAAGCCTCTATGCTTTGTGCTCCTGTCCATTCATAAACTGTGGAGATAGTTTGAGTTACTATGGCCACAATCATAAATGAACAGGAAGTGATGTAGAGCACTCAATCATTCTCTCCTCCCCGCACTGCTCGGCATTCCTGACTCACTTAAAGTGATATTAAACTCAGGAGTTAAATCTTAAGTACTTCAACTATTCAATTTGTTTTAGCTTATTTGTATATCACTTAGCTGTAGATCCTCAAAACGTCTCTGAATAGGTCCTTCCTTCTGGAGGTTGGTTAATTTTGTTCCCCATGGCCCTGTGTGTGTTGTAAAACAGCCACCCCTAATGGACTACAATCTCAATACAAATTAGTAAACTAAACATGAAATTGTAGTCCATCACTGGAGCAAGCTTGGAGTAGTGGCTACTTTACAACACACACAGGGACCATGGGGAATAAAAGTAGCCCCCCTCCAGAAGGAAGGACAGTGTCAGCACCAATTCAGAGATGATTTGAGGATCTACAGCCGAGTGATACACAAATAAGATAAATTTTGTTAATAGTTAAGGTACCTGAATGCATTTTTAAGATTTAACTCTTAGGTTTAGTGTAACTTTAAGTTCATGAGAAGCAATGTGTTTGAAATCAGGTTGTATGTTAACTTTAACATGTTACTTAAAAACAAGCAGTTATTAATCTGTGTTTATTTCTAAGATATGAAACTCACTGGATAGTGAGCAGAGAGGTCAAATTACTGTGTACAGATGCTGCACTTTTTTACTTAACTTACCAGAGATGTACTCCAGCATTTCCAAAGCCTATTCCAGCAAATGTACTGGCTAAGTGCATGGAGAAACGTGCTTCCCGATCATCTGGATTTTTCACAGCTCTGCCAATAATCACCAACATGAATAAGTTCCTTTAATTAAAGTGCTTTCTAAAGTAATATTCCATAAAAGTAGTGAACTATAACATTCTAATGCATCACAGGCCTGATCTAGTGGAATAGTTACACAGTATATGGATGTCCGATGTCTGTGCGATGTCCCAGGTGGGCTGTGCAGGGTCTCAGGGGAACGGGACTGTGCAGGGTCTCACGGGTGGTATCGGTGTTTAGTATCGGGGCACATTCATGAGCAGGAGTACATGAAAATGCCCAGTTTCGGCACCGATACAAGTATTGGTGCATCCCCAGTTGCTTTAAATAATTTTTTTAGCATTGCCTAAATTAATATGCTAATAACATATTTGCAACTTCTCTGAGATCCAATCCCTTCTGTGGTTCTGCACACTAACTGACAGGTCTGCAGCACCTGTGTTGTTCACTCAGCAAGGAACATTCTCCTGCAGATAATTCCTCCTCTTATAAGTGTCCACATCCCTAGCATTCACTTATTTTCCCACCAGTATCAATGTCACTACCTAATTTTTACATCCATGTGTGGCAGCTCTTTTAACAGTGTCCATTTCCCCACCACACTCTGTTCCTTCATCAGTGCCCACATTACTACACACCCTCCACACCCCTGTATCAACACTAACCTTTGTCACAGGTTTCCTACATTGTTTGCAACCCTTCTCTCACAAGTCCCCCCTACCCCCTCCCATTATCTGAATTATGCTGTCTGGCAAAACAGCAAAACAACCTCTCGTCCAACAGGGACAAAGACTGCATGACAAAATGCCCCTGATGCCAGTAAGGAAAATGGGGATGGCTACTTAACTACCCATGAGCAAAAGTTAGGTTAGGTGGTTTTCTGTTGTGTGCAACCGTCTCTCCCTCATTCCACGATACAGCAGATGGCGGTGGGTAGTTTACCATCAAATACAACTGCCCCTCATCCCATGAGGGAAAATACTGGGATATGGGAGAGGTTGGTACAAGGGCACCACTGCTGTGGTGAACTACCCACTCAATTCCCTCCTGGGTTGCTTAGCATCCCGCTCCCCAGAGGGAATTGAATTGAGTGGGTGGTTCACCAGAACATGACAATTCTCCTCATTTTGTGAGGTAAAGACAGGGGTGAATAGGTCATCAATGCTCATACCACAAGGAAAAATACAGAATGTGAAACCAGCCTCTTATCCCACAAGGGAAATGATGAGGATGCGTGGTTCACCAATCCGACATCTAGCAAGAGAAAAATTTGTGGTGGTTGGTTCATCACAGTATGCTGGGGGGTTAACAAACCCTTGTCATGGAATGGGAACTATAGGGTATGTGGTTTTCTGCTGTGGGCCATTGCTTTTAAGGGATAAAACAGGAGTGAGTGGTTTCTCCACCCATGCAAGTGCCTGAAATCCGTTGAAGAAAAAGACAGGGATAAGTGGTTCATCAAAACCTTCCATTTCCCCCTCCTACAACAGATAAGACATGGGTAGGTGGTTTCCTCCCTAAAGAGGGAAGATCAGTCAGTCATCGAGATATGTCGGAGGTGCTTGGCTCCAAAATGAATGACCAACCCTCCATACTGTAAGTGAAAAAATAGAGTTGTTTTGTTCACCGCCCATAATCCCACATGGAAAATGAAAGGGCGTTAAATAGTTCACAACTACATGCAACTGTCCCATATGCCACAAGGGATACGTTTGCAGGGATTTGGAAGATCAAAGTGCACACACCCCTCACCACAAAAAAGAAAAAAGGTGGGTGGGTTGGTTGGTTTTAAAGCTGAATGCCATGCTTTGGTATCTGCTGTCTGTATATTATTTATCCAGCCTGTAAATGACTCAGCTCATTTAATTTTCTTGTAATTTATAAACTCTAACTTACCTTTTTAAAAACTTGGAGACAATTCTCAGGGCATGTATAGCCCACACATCGCTGATGGGGTTGCTACCCTGGTAAGCTGGGCGGTTGATTGGGTTGGTTGGGCAAGGGCTGCGCATATTATAGGGGATTGCAGTGTAAGATTCAAGAGCATGGCTGTGAATTAAAATAGGACACATCATTACACGGCTCTGAAAATCACACACCATAGTAAGGAGATCTATTTACTCACCACAATACATCAAATCCACTGTTAGCTACTACTCTCTCTGGCATTTGTAATGTATGTTCTGGGTCAATCAATCCTAGGGTTGGTTTAATGGCTCTAGAAGCAATACCTAAAAAAATCAAAAAATAGTTAATTTTATACAATAAAGATCAGTTCCAAGACTGTGAAAAAAATCAGATGCTTTAGAGTACGGTTGCACAGATACCAAGTACAGTACTCGGTACAAGTACGATACATGTACCGATACTTTTGAGCTCCAAGACTACACTAGAGAAAAATTCAAAAATTAGGAGGCCGCTGTCATTTGTAAGGAGTACACGAAGCTCCTGGGATTTGTACATCTCTGTTTTAATGTACGATTTTGTTTTTATAAATATAAATAAAGGGATGCACAGATACCAGTTTTGCGAGTACGAGTACTGGTACTTGCCAAGTACTTACAAGTATGAGTACTGATACATTTCTGTTTATTGTCATGTGACAGTTTTTCTAAAACAATACAGACTAATGATTTCAGGACAGTGGTGGAGAGCCAGAGCCAGGTCCCAGCTGCAACCGCTGCAATCCTGGTAGTTCTCATTAAAATACCAAGTATCTGCACTCTTACTCAAAAAGTATCTGTACATCCCTACTTTAGAGTGACATTTCTCCTATTTCTGCATGGATCGGTTCAAAGACATTGAGAAATGTTGTAAGGAAAGTTTATGGAAGAAGCAATTATGAAAGACAGTGCTCTCACGTAAATCAATCATATTCACATTAACAAGGTTTCACTGCAGATTAGTAACATAGTAAAATAAATCCATTAATTTTCCTATGGCCCATGTTTACAAATGTCCCTATGGTCCCTTTTTGTACATAAGGGTGTACTAAAGAGTCACACAAATAGAACTGACGTGTAAGTAATAGCCTAAATTTATGTACCTTACATAGGCCTTGGTACATGACAGTGGGCACAAATTGAATGTGCTCAGGACTGTTTTTCTCACGATCAAGACCACACATAACCTTCCCACCAATAAGCTCCAGTAGTATAGCCAAAATGAATGCAGAGATAGCAGATACTCTGCCTATCACCCTGGGAGCCCAGTTCAGACCCTGACTCAATCATCTGACTCTCTTCCTCACACATTATCAATGGCAATGTCACTACTGTAAATTTATATTTATGCTTTGGGTACACAGTAACATACATTAGCATGTATGATGTTAACAATAGGGACAAGCCATAGGGCACCTAGTCACACTTTGATTCAAGGCACAAAATAATTCTGCTGGGCATCTGACTAGAATACTCGTATCTAGCAGCATAAATGGACAAAAACGTAATCTCTGAAATTATTTATATTTTTCACAGAGATCAGTAGTACTACCAGTGAGATCAATACATTTGCCAGCATTTTACCACTAGTGCAGCCTGATTAAAGCTATATTGATGAAAAGTGTCAAATTCTCCAAGAATGGATGTTGTATGCAAGCTCTGCTTTTTTGGTTTATTGAGTTTTAGAGAGGGTCATGCAACCAGGCATTGGTCCCAGGATGGAGGTGAGCTGGCAGATTTGTTTTTGTAAGTCATTAAAAAGAGGAACATTGAATTTAAAGCAGAAGAAAGACGTTAATATGGAAAAAATACAATTGATAAAAAGAGTACAGAGCTTACCTGTTTTGGCTTTCATTTCTTCATAGTCAAATATTGCAATTCCTGTAGTTTCACTTCCAGTTCCAGATGTAGTAGGGACTGTCAAACAATACAGACATAACATGTCATCTGCGATATCTATAATATCCAGTATGCATGCTGATAACTATCTGATACATTTAATTATTATTTCTGCAATTTGTTTACCTGTAATTTGTGATCTCCATTCCAATTCTATGCCCTCTTCCCCACAATGTATATTTTACCTGCTATGAGTGGTTTAAGGCTTACAGTCACTGCCTTTCCTTTTCCAATAGGGGCATTGACGTAGTCCAGGAAGTCAGCACTAGGACTAGAAGCATAAAGATTTGCAGCCTTACAGGTGTCCATTACAGAGCCACCACCAACAGCAACGTATGCATCAAATGTCTCTTTTTTGGCAAACTGAATAGCATCCATAAAACTGTGTACAAAAGAAAGAGTCTAATTAATAAAGATCATTATCATCACATAAGAAACCCAACACACAAATTTGATTTACATAATTCCAGTTATCGTGCAAACTTATTGCTAAAGGGTAATACCAAGGGTTCAGGGGGGTAGGATAATCAATATGAAGTGAAGCTCAAAAACATAGGGACATAAACTGAAACTAGCGTGAAGGAAGTTCAAGGGTAAAGTTAGATAGTATTATTTTACCAAAAGTAGTAGAAAATGCTTGAAACAGAATTCCAGCATTCTCCACTGAGTCAATCAATAGTAAGTAGACCTAAACATGCTTGGAAAACCATAGGTCTATTCTCAGACCCCCCAAAAAAATCTAAATCCAGCCCCAAAACAAACAATAAAAAACAGCAGTTGGATGGACCACTTGGTCTTTTTTCTGCCATCATTCTTCTTTTTCTACTTAAATAGTCAATCTACAGGACTCCTCATACAGCTAAACTCAACACACAGAATGTCGGATATGTATTTAAGCAGCATTTGTTCATATTCCAAAAACAGTTCATCGAGGTAAGAAGAAGAAGACATCTATTTCTGTAAAACCTTGAGTTCATGTTTTATATCATTTTACATCAGCTCATTGGGTGCTGAAATCCATCTAAAGTCCTATGGAGAACCTAGTTAATTTGGAAAATCCCAAACTTTAACTTGGTGACCACTCTGAATAACAGGTGGGTATAGCAGTAGCAATGATTCATAAAAGGTGGGGGGAAAAAACAAAACACATTAACCATGATCATTGTGGCATATCACAGGCATCTATTAGCTAACCATGCAGCTACCTCTTATCTGTAGGCTCCACTCTCACACTGTCATATAAGGAAAACTTGATATTATTCTTTGTTAGTGAGTTTAGAACAGCTTTGACTGGTGGAAGCTGCACAAGGTTTTTGTCAGTCATTACACAAACATTTGTTGCTCCCATGTTCTGCAAATCCTATACAAAGACAAAAAAAATATACGCAGTCACAAATCCAGCTTGTATTGTGAAAATTAGCTAATGCTTTTGTTTTTAGCTTTCACGTCTATAAGCAGGTTCCCTCACTGCAAGGACCCCTTACTAAATAACCATACATATTCTTTTGCATTATTTTTGTCTGCAGACCTGCATTTGTCCTTACCATGCCCACTTCCTTGCTAACACCTTCTCCATATCTGATGCTTGACATTGCCATCTGGTGAAAGAAACAGTCTTTAGTAAAGCTGATTTCGAATGCATCAGCAATATTTCACAGCAGAATATGATGTACAGGCTTACAAGCCTAAGCAGCAAGAAAAAATAAAATGTACTAAATCATAGCACAATACAAATAGCCTATACAAATTTTTTATTTGCTTATCTGGCATTAGGAAATAGAAATCTGATTGCTTACTGTGAATAACTATTATTTGTGTACATTCTTCACTCTTTCTCTACAGTAAAAGGGAACCAATCAACTAAAATTGGTTCAGTTAAACAAGCGATACTGGAATATGCATAATGCTTAAACAAAAAATAAAGATAGTAAAGAGAATTTAATTACAGAAATCAAAGTCTAAGAGACAGAGACCAATGTGAGGAGACATGAAAGTGCTATATTAACACCATAACATGCTCTAAAAAAACTAGGAGTTACAACCCCATTCCAAGGGTATACAGTGTGAAAGTAACAGGGATAGATACAGAAAGTAAAGGAAATCTTGTAGCAGTTGTGTGGTTGTTTAATATCGATGGGATATATCACTACATATTAGGTAGTGATTACAATTTGTGAGGACATAGTGACCTGGAAGAAAGATGAAGTTCATGTAGATGAAAGGACAATGAGGAACTGAGCTAGAGACAGAGAGGTGCAGAACATGAGGAATTGGAAGTATGAGTTCAGCTTTAGCATTTATAACAGATTTAACTAGAAGGAACCTGTTTAATAGAAGGCCACAGAGGAGGGTAATACATTGGTCAAGTCAGAATATGATTACACCTCATACCAGTATTTCAGTTGTACCTGAGAGAAGAAAGGGTGGACCAGGAGACGTTTGCAAGTTAGCAAATAATTTTTATTGATATACAGCATAGTAATACAAATACAACCCTCCAGGAGGGAGTAAACAAGAAAGAAAAACATATGCATGGCAGATAAGGATCAACATATACATAATGATAGTACAGTCTAATAACCGCTAACCAGCACAAGTGGATCAAGAGAATACCATTCCCCAAAACCTGACCGTAAATGACTGTCTTCACACCCATAAGATCGTCACGGAGTGATAACGGTTTAGCACGACAGAAAACAATGGCATAAAGGAATAGAGATAAAAGACACAAGCTTTCACTAGGGAGTCCCATATTTGATTGTGGGAAGGAAGTACCATCCAAGGGGCCCTAAAGAATGTCTAAACCACCCAGGGTTCCTGCTACCTTGGACTCTAGGTACCACTTTGTGACGTTTGCAAGTTAAAAAAGGCAAGCCGTTTTTAAAGTTTATATAACTGGATGAGCAGTGCTAAGAGTTCAATTTGTCTAAACCTCGTATAAGTGTCAATAGTTTAAACCATAAATTGTACCTTTTATCACATTATCTAAATATGATAAAATGAATAGTGAAAACAAAATTGGATAACGATACATTTTCTGTCAAATGTGACAAGCCTAAAAAGTGTATCGTGTCGAACCACCGATACAATGTGTACTAGTGTAGAGATAATAAATCCCCCCTTAAAGGTAATGTGAAATAGAAGCTGCTGTATTATAGGCCACTGGGTCTGAAGATGTTTTAACTGAGTATAAAGCGCTAATAGCTCAATCAAAATAAATGTTGAAAACAAAATACAAGTGTATAAACGCAAAGTGTTCTAACCTGTGATGATATCGCTAAAGTGAAAAAAGGATAAAACAACAAGTGAAATTTAAGACAAAAAATTATTATAGAAATAAGACTCTATACTTGTGAATGCCCTATACAGGGTTAAATAAAATCATGACTTATTAAACGGTGTCAATCCTAAGTGCCCTCGTTATTACAATGGAATAAATGAATCCATGAAATCCTTCACTTTTACAAATAATGCTATGTCCTTAATGTGCATTTATATCATCGTGCAACATAACATATATGTGAACAAAAAATATTGTAATAAGAGTGAACAGAAAAAGAAAGTCTCTGTGATAATCAACTACACTTCAATAACGGGTAATAGAGCCTTCCAGTATTCGGTAGTTAGGATAGTGCTTTACTGGGGTTTGTATTGATGCCAATACATCCACCTACCAGAGTGCGTACTCACCGCAAACTTTTGGCTGTAAAAGACAGCCCCAAACGTTTTATGTCTGATGGGACACGCTAATGCGGCGTCTTTCGTGACTCGCACTTTACCATCAGTCTTCAAAGTGCAAAGTATTCCCACAGTCATGCAAAGAAAATATCTTTCATCGGGTAATAGTTCCAGGAGCAGTTTATTAAGAAGTTAAAATTCGAAGACAATAAAAATCACGCCCGGCCGGTCCGGAAGCTATCATATTTGGTATGGTAGGCCCGCCCCTATGCATTTCGTCATTAACGACGAAATGCAGATACAGATACATCTATAATCAGAAAGATATTGCACCAATTCAACCTGCATGAAAGGTGTGGAGAAAAAGCCTTTGCTGTCCAAAAAGAACAAATTACAGTTTGCCATTGATCATTGTAGGTAAAGACCAGGCCTTCTGGAATTATGTGGCTGATCAATGTATGTACAGTATGTATGTATGTATGTATGTATGTATGTATAAGATATGTTTGGTCATATGTAGACATGTTTTATTCCCATTAAAATTTTGTAGGGGGGTTTTGAATTGGGCAGTTTAAGAAGTAATTTCTGCTACAGGGAGAAATACCATCCAACTGTGAATTTTTTTTCTCAGTACACCATTACATCTATTGATATTTTTGTTGAATAAATGATTGAAAAGGCAATATTTCTTGTGTTCTTATTCCAGTATTCAGGCACTGCTTGAATAAAGATCTAATGCTTGTCTGTTTAAAATATAGAAAAGTCAACAATTTCCATGGTGTGTACTTAATTTTTCACATGACTGTAGGTAATAACTGCAGCAATAAAATAAATAAATAGAAAGACATCAAAAACTGGTGTGGGATTTTGTCTCTCTACACCTTTAATTAGATCATTTGGTATACATTTTCCATCTAAACAATCTGTCCAACATTCAGCACCCATTAAGAATGCCATGGTGGATTTGTTTTCTTTTTGCAATTTTTAAAAACAAAGCACAATGATAGGTTTACGATACAGTAACTCTACCAACAAAACTTTTGCAGTAACATTTATATAATTTACATATTTACCTCAAATGCATAATCTGTTGTAATCTGGGAAGATGGAGCTAAAATAAATATAAAACAGATCAGTGCGCACTCCAAAAGTATTACAAGCCACCAGATAAAGAAATATTTACAGACAACATAAATTCTATCATTACGCCATAAAAGACCGACAGGAGGGGAGATATTTGTCCATCCTTACGCAACCTGCATGAGTGCTGGGACCCATCACAATCCATGCACAGGGCAACAGTGCATATGTGATACTTCTTGTATTACTTGTATTTTGGAAGTGTAATTTGAAAGTGAACCTGTGTTTTGCCAATGCAGGGCATAGCCACAGGTAGACTTTAAAGCCAACACCACCACAGCAGCTTATACTTAACCCCTCCCCAACCTCGCTGCTCCATTTACCGCCAAAGGCAGAGATCAGGAATTAGGATTAACTTGTCAGATCGAGCACCTGTTAGCGGGTTTGAGCAGGAGGATTAGTGGACCATATCTTTGCTGCCGGTGGAATTGAAATCATTCACTTGATTATCTATAGATTACATTGCAAATTTGAACATTGATTGTTTATTTGTTGGGTTTTCGATTATTAGCACATTGGAATTCTTAGAGGGTGACGTATCATAGCACTTTTGCTATATATCTATTTCTATATCTATTTATTGTAGTATATATTTATTTATTTGTGTATCTATTCCATCATTTGGCTTAGGAGTGGGGTGAGTGCAGCACATTTAATATATATGTTTTTCATCAGTATACCTTGGTAATACTTGCAGTGTTTGCAGCACACCTTTTACACGTTTGGTTCCATATTGGCATGGGATATTATTCTGTGGTATTAGTGTACATGTAACATACAGTGGGAGGATGGCGATGAATGGGTTAAAGTGCAGATGTGCAGGATAAGGAAGATGAAGGGTTATTCTACACGTCACAATGAGAGTCAGGTTGGAGATCAGATGTCTAGGACAGAAGGGGGGTGAAAGGGTTAAAAAATTATCCTAAGTCAGTAAAAATGAATGAATGGACGTGTAGAACAGTTGCCGTCAGGCCTCTCTACTGTGGCATTTATAAACAGTGGTGGGTAAAATACAGTCTATCACTCTACCCTTTATAAATGTACTGCAGTAGAAAAGACATTAGGCCACTTCCTGTGGGCTCAGGATGTCAAGGACACACCCCCTGGAGAGCGCATCATCATGCTGCCTTGAACTCACAGGACAATTCTTCAGGGAACAGCACTGACATTCGGACCGAGCAACATTCTCTGCAGTATTTAGTACTACTGACAGCTGGAGGAAAAAGAGGAAGAGGACCATTGCATCATGTGATCGGCCAGAAAACTGCAGGAAACCATAAAACTCCAAGAAACCATAAAGAACATGTACAAAAGAAGCCTAGAGCTCCATCTGCTGGTTTAAAGTAAGAATACATCCTTATAAATCAATATAGGAAATATAAAAAATATATACATCCCCTTTAAACTGGTATTCCAAAGTTATTATAACAGCCAGGAGAACCCCCTGAATCACTATATCAAAAATGCACCATGAGGTATAGCTGAGAAAATGGTGTACACCACAGCTATAAGGTGAATAGCATTCCTTACAATATCACTTTGCCTACTATTCTGTGTTTTTATGCAACCAAAGTCTATAGCTACACTATATTAATTTATATACCCAGTGGACCAATGAATAGTGTGTACTAATAGTGTGTACTAGTTCATTCCTACCTTGACAATATGTGTGAGAATGAGCTGGGCACCTGCATCTAAAGAAATAATTAATAAATAACGCTGGTTAAAAAGTGTGACATTTTGTAGCACAATTCCGAATATAAAATAAAACAGCATCGGTATGTTAAATATGAACTGTCCATAAGTAAATAAACGAATTATAAGAATAGTTGTAAAAACTTACGATGCTTTCTGCAGTTGTCTTAGGAGGTGAATCACTTTATCCCGTCCAGCAGCCATTAGGATGTAGAGAAAATACGGAGTCAAAACTAAGGTTTCTCTAAGTATAAAATACAGAGAAAACTAAGAGATAAATGATTGCTAAAAATATAAAATATTAATATATTTAAACTTGATCATACAATAAAAATCATTCTTAACATGAATGGATAGGCCTACATTGACTGAGACACCTTCATCACACTCATTTGTTTTAGACATGTGTGATTCGTTTCGTTCCGCATTGACATTTGTATGAATTTCTGCATATTCGGACAATCGAATGCATCTGAATTTCTGAATGACAGAAATAACGAACCCAAATAAATCCGAATGTTTTTGATACCTGAAATGTTTCCAGAATGTCATTCGGAATGGAAGAAAGTTGTCTGCCTCTTAGTTCGCATTCGGGCATCCCAAATGTAATTAAAGTAGCAGAGAACTGTTACAGAATGTAGAAAAGCTTTTAACTTTTCACAGTCCACAGAAACAATAAAAAAAACAAAAACATGCGGTTCAGTCTGGCAATTCATACCAGACCCTTTAGGTGTGGGGTCCCTTCTAAAATCCCTTATCAGAACCCTGATCCGAGCATCAGCCTGGCAGAGCAGGAAAGTGAGGGGATGAGCCTGCTCCCCTCCCCTGCACCGTACCTGGCCAAATGCCCTTGACATGGGATGGGTGCTTTGCCAGGGGGGGGACCCCCTAGAAAACCACCTTGTCCCCATGTCTATGAAGCTGCATAGAGACACAATCAATAACAAAGTGAACAAACACATCTGAAGAGAAATGATCAGATCTGCCCATTTAGTTCTACAGTGACCCCACTAGAAACATAACCTTAGAGGTACAATCAATACACATGCTTTAAGATGATCAGTCATTTACCCATTAAATAGTAGCACACTAAGGGTGTATATACTACCAGAGTCAGTCTGTCAGTTTTCAGACTTCCATACAGTGGCCCTGGAAAGGCAGCGGGAAGATAGCTATTTCTGATACACACTCAACCTTGGTATCAGCATTAAAAAAGAGCCCCAATCATTGGTGTCAATGGGTAATAATTAACCCCCAATCGATGGTGTCAGTGTGTAAGAATAAACCCCCAATCATTGGTGTCAGTGGGTAAACATGAACCCCCAATCATTGGTGTCAGTAGGTAAAAATTAGCACCAATTATTGGTGTCAATGGGTAAAAATGAGCCACCAATCATTGGTGTCAATGGTAAAAATAAGCCCCCAATCATAGGTGTCAATGGGTAAATATGAGCCCCAATCATTGGTGCCTGTAGGTAAATATGAGCCCCAATAATTGGTGTCAGGGGATAAAAATTAATGCAGATATCCCATCACACCTAACCAGTATGTCCTCTGTTGTCTCTCTGTCAGTGCTGTAGTGATAAACAGATGACACCGCCAAATGTAACATAGAGAGTAATGATAAAAAAAAACACAGGAAAAAAATTTTCAGGACCACGCAGGGTCCCTACATCAAGCACATTGCCAAATGAAGGGACCCTGCATGGTCCTGAAACATGATTTCAAGATCAATCAACGTCAGTAAAGGCATTTTGATTATGAAAATTTTGGTGTGCTGGTGACTTACTCCCTAGGGAGTAAAAATAAGTCAGTGGATAAACCTCCGGGTTTTACTGCTCCCTAGCCGTTCGGGTGAATGAGGCCTTACAGGTCTAGAACCAACTGAATTAATCTGCCCAGTAATTTTTTAACATACAGGCAATATCAATATCAACCTTCTCTGGGCAGAAAATCCTTAGGCTGACCATACACTGTAGTACTCCAATCGTTCAACCCGCTGGCTGAATGAAGAAAATATTACAGATTACTCCATCAATGCTTAAGAGCATTGATCGAGGAATCTCCCTCTGTCTTCAGTGGGTGCTGTCTGCTGTCAGAATACCTGAACAGAGCCGACAGCTCATTGGCTGGCGACTCTGTTCATTAGATGATTTTCCGACCAGCTCCTTCGATCAGCTGATCAAGGGATGCAAGCCAAAAGGGTGCTGACAGCGGCACCCACTGTGCGAATTTCGTCCATTTCATCAAGATCTGGCTGAAATTCGTATAGTGTATGGTCAGATTTTTAGCACTGCAGGGTACACCTTTAATTATGTCAGAGGAATCTGCCTACCACTATAGACGTGAGAAGATTGCCTTACAGCTGAATACAACCATAATTGGGGAATATTATCTCATGCCCATGAGATGCCAAAAATTTACAGTAATTACACTTGGACATCTTTTTTTCGCCTCCGACTGTCACCTTTAAACATAAAAATAGGTTGTTTCAGCCACCACTTATAAACAAAGTCACATTCTGATCATTCAAATCAAGGTTTACTGAAAAGGCATTTGCAGAAACACCTTTATGTCTGTGCTTAAAGACAGTTATTATGTATTAATGTTACACTGGTGTATACAATGCAGCGTTGATATGTGGTTTGAAATCATGCATGTTTGCACAGAACTGCAGGACATGACATACCAGTCCATTACTAAGTAACCAGAGCAGTACATTGACCCCCAGCTTTGGAGAGCACCTTGTTAGTAAAATGCAGAGTGCTGATATAAGTCATAATACCTGAGAGAAGGGTCTTATGAGTACAGTAGTGGAGTCAGTATGGTGAAATCCTGTTTACCAGTCTCCTTGTGTCAGACACTGTAGGACTGGTTTAGGAATGTTCTCTCCCAGCATTCAGCGCAGTGTTGTGTTCTGATAGGCGGTAATGTGATCACTCCCAGGCTGCCGGAAAATGAATCCCTCCTCCCCTCTGTAAGTTTTTTGTTTCTTTTACAGATAATTCACTGGTCTCTAAGAGCAATCTAAAACCTCAGGCGATTGTTACCTTTACCCAACAACGTCACCCATTGTACACGGCATGTTTGTAATGCAGAAGCAGTTTCCTTTTTAGCTATATGAGGGGTGATGTTGCCATATGCAAACAGAATTCTGTAAAAAAAAATAATTTGTTTTTGCAATATTCTTTTGATTTTCTAATAGTTAAAGCGATTAAACTGATGATCCATTCCGAACACAGTGATGAAACAAATCGAAGTAGCAGGATGGAAAACTTTTCTCGAGCAAACAAAGGGGCTCATACACACATACGCATGTGCGCGCCCATGCTGAGACCTGCCTCATCTGGGACAGATGAGGCAGGTAATTATATGCAGCCACCTGCAAATCACTATAATAGGGGAGGACATGGCTGTGCATGGCTACACGCTGACCCGAACCTGCACATCTGTGTTTGTCTGGGTGCACTTGGATGTAGACAGTATGCATCCTCGTGCGGACACCCAGATCTCCACAGATGTGCAGGTTTAGGTCAACGTGTAGCTGTCTTCCCATATGGATGTACATGCGGCTGCATACAATTAGACACAGCACCTTTCCCTCTCGGGAGTAGGTCTCTGCACTGACGTGCATGCTGTAAGGATGTGCATGCCGGTGTCAATGACCCCTTACAGTGAATGTGGTTTTTCGTTGTTTTTATTTTAATTGGTATTTATATAGCGCCTACCATTTTTACGCAGCGCTTTACATACTGCACTTTCACATCAGTCCCTGCCCTCAAGGAGCTTACAATCTAAGGTTTTCTTTTGAGAAACTCCATTCATTCCAAAAATCAAATGTTAAATCAAACGAAGTTTCAAATGAGATTCTACAAGTCTCTGATGGCATTATGGAATGTTCTCACTAGGGATGCACCGATACCGGTTTTTCTGTATCGAGTACCGATATTCATATTTCGGTACTCGTCAATACTGAGTACCAATACTGGTACTTCCGCTAGCATGGAGGCGGCTTCACGGGCAATCAGGAAGCCGGGCGGCAAGTCATTACCTGCTGCCTGACTTCCTGATTGGCCGGGAAGATGGCACCATGTTCCCTCGCGGCACTGCCAGTCAGGGGAAATCTCCCTCTGACTGGAAGTTCCGCTATTGGAGCATTTGGGCGTGTACAAGTATTCGCCCAAATACTCAGTATCAGCACCGATACCGATACACATCCCTAATTCTCACAAATGATTTCATACAAACGTTCCAACATACCAATACCTGGATTTAGCTTGACTCCAGGATAAGCAATTACAAGAGGCATGTGTACTCTTACTTGAGTCTTGGTGTCACTTATGTGTTTCTTCCAGATCCGTGCAGTAATCCAGTCTAAAGCTTTGCCTTTCTACAGGTACTTCCTGTAATAAAGACCAGTCACTGCTGCTCTGTCTCCTTGTTGAGGGTGACTGGTCTTGCCTCTGACCCCCTCTGTAGTTTTCTGCAATCAGCCTGTAGTGTGTGGGGCCTGTTGGGTCCCTCCCACAGCTCTTCTCTTCGCAGAGCACAGTGATGACACCGCTACTTTTACAAGGTAAAAACTGGACCTACCAAGGCATATGCCTTATATAGCTGGCAGTGAAAGTTTTAAAGGCATGACTAAAAAAATATAATATATTCAAGCTAACCAGTCCTTGGATGTGGTGGCTTGCAATAGCTTTCTTTTTTTTTTTTCAGGCTTTTTCCACCTGGTGATCCCACCAGTACCATACTTCCTGTCCTCGGGTGACAACGCTCACTCACTATACTAGGTCTATGGTCTCAGATATATCAAAACATTTTCTATGGTATATTAGAACCTCTGTCAGCTGCTAGAACCAAATAGACCGAACTAAACCATATGTACAACAATGCAAAGTAGACTAATAGTTTAGCACCTATCCAGTTAATAAAAATATTTATTGCAATATTCAATGACGTCATTTAAATACTAAATGCTCAATGAAATATGTAGTTTCATCTCTTGAAGTGGAAGCGGCTGTATTGACCATGAACTAATGAATAACGTTTATCTCCTGACAGAGGAGTACAAATTCAGGATAGGAAATCTCTCCGTTCACCTATAGAATTTATTAGATCTGTGCTTGTATGGAATTTAGTCAAATAAAGTTTTATTCGTTTTAAACAGGGGAAAAATATATAACATACATAGCACACTTTCAGGGTACATACAGGTATACAGGCAAGTTGGTCCGCAGGACCCAA